TGCAAGACACTGCTTCACTTCTTGTTCGAGGCGATCTCGTTCTCGACGCATCTGCTGCAGTTTGGACTTCGTTTTCTCACGACAGCGTGCGATACATGCACGACGACGGTGTAGTCTCATCTCTGCCTTGACCTCGTTCGTCCATGCCTCTGTAGTTGAGATGGCCCAGTCTCGAATTGGCGTCGATGGCTCAGTATTAAGTGTGTCCGCTGCAGGTTCCAACGACGTCATGGTGAGGTCTAACGTTTGTTGTGATGTGATACCCTGCGATCACGTGAAAAGTGAGTGCGGGAAGTAGTATTCATGTGGAGCTCATGTTTGGCTGCGTACATGTACCCACATAGCGTTCCGTTTCTCAGACGACTCAACCAATTATTTCGTGACCTACACCTGCAAGTCCGTATGTTCAAATATTTAATAAAATCAAAAGAAAGCCTTGAAATCCACATGTCATTCGCGCTGTGTTCGAGGTGCAACTGTCCTGCACGCTGCTATTGTTTTTTGTTTTTTTTTCAATGCCCCATCCACCCTCAAGGAACTGGATTTGTAAGCCTTAGTCACCATCATTAATCTGCCGATTTAGCATGCAGGACTGAGTTATGATCCGCAGAATCCGATCGGAATTTATGAGCAACAACCAGACCTGTTCTAGCTAAGTACTTCAGAGTAGCGTCCACTGAAAAGCAGCTTGTCTGAATTGGTCTGCTTTGGTGTGGATAGCGCCAGGAGGCTACACGAGTATGCTGATTTTTGAGCTCATTCACCGGAGAGACTAAACCAGTTGTTAACTGAGACATACGGTAGCTGGGATAGGAAAACGACAGCTGGCTGCGTGCTGAGGTGTGGACGCAACCATGTTGATGCTCGAAACGAGGTCAGTTTAAATAGATAATCCGACCCAGCACACGCAGAAATTCTTCCGTCAAAGGGGCTTTATTTCTCTGCGTTATCAGCTCCAAACACGTTGACGTGTGCCATGCGCTCCTTCAGTCCATCAGACGCAGTTACCCCCGAGAATTTGATTCAAGACTGGGCCATCTCAACTACCGAAGCATGGACGAATGAGGTCAAAGCTGAGTGGAAGCGACAGCGCCGATGCGAGACACTGGTTCGTTTCCGCAAACAGAAGAAAAAGAAGACCGCGAACATGATACTAGAACGAGACCGCTTGGAGCTGGAAGTCAAGCAGCGACTGGCAGCCTTACGCGAAGCAGTGGCGCAGCGAAGTGACGATGGCATCCCAACGAAGTCAAACAAGACAAGGGACACAGTCTGCTGTCTCGCTCTCGAGAGCGACGCGCTCCGTAACGAGAACCTCGAGATGCATCAGAGACTTCTACAATTCAAACGTCTATGGTCAATTATTGATGAAGGATTGCTAGAAGTCACGACCCAGGGACTCTATTTGAACGGCTACAATGTCTACGAGGCCAGTGATCGGTCTCGATGGGTACGCCAAACTGAGGCGGGATGGCGAGTGAGCTTCCCTAATGGCGAACCTTCCTTCTTCTTTGAGCCATTTCTGCGAGAAGAATTTGATGCCATGTACAAGAAATGTATCGAAGAATTGCTCAAACCTCAACATATCGATCCCGCCGGTACACTGTTTGGATGGACAGTAAACTACGCTACAAACTTTCGCTCGTTCGAGGACAATTACATCGTTGCTCGAGCTAGATTCAGCAAGAGAGTTCGGTGTTCTCTAGACTACGTAGATGGTGTGATAACAGCTTCGGACCTCAATGGCTTACCTCTGATCGTGACATCTTTGGGACGGGAGCGAAGTGCAGTTTCCATCCAAGTGTTACAGAAGTTCGAGAAAGATGCACACATCATGGTTTGCAACATGTCTGGATCGCCAAATTTCCGGTATTTGTTTCTACTTAAACGAGAGCCCCATCTACTACTAGATGGGACACGCACTGTCGCTTATACGATGGCGATCGTCAACTCCAACGCAAACACAAGAGCTCGTAGTGCAGAAGAACCTCACAGTGAAGTTGAGTGGGCTCATGAAGGTTCGAACGTCTTACTAGTTACAGAAGTGGACGACAACACAGTGGATGTGAAGTTTGACTTCAAGGCGTCGTGTCAAGATGATCTTCATGCACGGTTTGTCTGTATTCAGTGGGCGCAATTTGTCTCCCGCTGGTTGCAAGGCGTGGATCCGCTGGCTCTTCTTGCTTCACAAGACGAATATGTCCTATAACTTTAAACTCCCGACTGCATTGCATGGATAACGACTGCATTCGCCACCAATTTCTCTCGTTACAGGGTTTAGCAAATATTCATAGACTAATTTTCAAAAGGTCAAATTTGGTTGCAGGAGTACAACGCATAAAGCGTGGAAGAGGTTCACTTTTTTGAGTTTAGTGTAGACTGAATTCCTATCATGGACTGCCAAAAAACAGGTTGGCATAGTCAATCTTGCACGTCCAATCATTTTACCGTCCATAAGTCCTCTTGTTGAGAACGCCTGGCTAACAGCCCAATCGAACAATGTGCCCTCGGTATCGATAGGATGCGGTCGCGAATGCCAGTCTGTGAGGCGGAAAGAGGATGAAAGCTTGTAGTTTTGAACAACGTACAACTAGTTCGAGATGAAGACACAAGCCATCCAGCTGAAATTTCTCGCCAGCCTCGTTCAGCGTGAAGATGCTTGACTCTCTGGGAGCGTCGTATTTCAGCCGCTGCCTCCTCTACAAGAGACCAACTAGTCTCCAGGCACGACCAAAAATGCTGAAGTTCACTTGGAGCTGAACTTCGCGTGAACCTCGCTGTTATCACTTCGAAGCGCGTCACGCTCTAGTGAACGTTGACAAACTGCGTACTAGTATCCGTTCCTTGTCGGTATTCCATGCTCCACTATAATAGCGTTTGAGCTCCAAAGTGTAGCTTGGCCTTGAGCTTCCAGTATGCTTAATACTACTTTGAGGCCTACAGCAGCTGGGCGCGTGCTCTAGAACACGATCACATCACGACGTGACGATCAGGAGCGCATTGTTGATGCTCAAAAGAGATCAGTCATCCAGGATGACAAGCACAAACACGTTCGGGTGTACTTTCACTTTCTTATCTCTTGTGCATTCAATGGCGTCGAAAGTATTCTGCTGTCATTATCTGCATCCACTGCGTAGGTTGTTCTTTGCTTCGGGTTTAGTTGCATGCAGTTGGGCGACAGTTAAATCTGAACATGAGACCTTCAGCTGAAATCTGTGCTGAGCAGAAGTCGAGATAGTAGTAAGTCGACACGGCAAAAACAACCTTTAAAGCATTGGGTACTTCATCAACTGAGTCTTCTTTCTTCTTTCTCTTCATTCTGTTTTTCATATTCACTCTGCTTCGATGCCATAGTGAAAATAAGTCTATTCTGTGTTTTCTATAATCATAATGCCGATAGGCCTGATCATCCTGACTCAACACTCTCTTTATTAGAGAGGTTGTGCTACGGTAACAAAACTGTGAAAACTGTGAAAAGGAGCAGTGATGAGTAGAGGTTGGCGATCACAGTGACTTTGTCTCTAGGAAAAGTACGTTAGAGGCACGCTCACTGTGGAGACGAGTGACAGCAAATAAATAACAGAGGTGAGTTTGCAAATCGCAAAGCTAAGGGAAGATAGAGGCGCTAATGAAGACATCGTACCAGGCAGTATGACAGCGACGAAGGCAAAGCGAAAAAAGGCCTTTCGCTTTCTCCCATCAAGTGATGTCGTCCTTCTAAAGGAGGTGGTAAAGCATACACCATGGTCAGCAGGGCATGGTGAAACACAAGTGGCGTGGGAGAAGGTGGCAAGTGGCATCAAGGCAGCTTTGCCCAGCGTGTACACCAGACGGCAAAGCATGTCGAGGTCATCCAATCGGGCTGGGTGACCTCGACATGCTTTGCCGTCTGATGTACGCCATCCTGCGGAGGAAGATGGATAAAGTCTCGAATGCGGAAACGTGGTAGCGCTGTCTTGCTGGAAAGGGATCGGGAAGACAGAAGTGCACTATCAGCGCCTGGATATCGTCTTTTGCATAGCGAAACTTTGATTTCCACACGGGGGCTGTAGCTGGCTGATCGAAGTTGAACCGTTTTAGGCGCGGGCGACCACCACATACCTGCGCAAGAAGCGCTAGCTCCTCGTCTTCGGAGCTGTCACTGTCCATTCGTCCTTCAATAGAAAAACGGAACTGTTGGAGGCCAGTATTATAATACTGTAAACATACAGGACTCTAGTCCTGTACGTTTCCATGATTTGAAAAATAAAATTCATTTCCACTTCGGCTAATTACGATCGAGGCCGATCCCCAATCCCCAATCTCCCATTATCGTTTGTTCCGTTTCCTGCACGAATGGGCCCAGGAGTCGGCGGCGGCCACACAGACGCTGCCACAGCGCGCACGGACGGACGTGGCACCTCTCCTCAGCGTCGCGGCCCTGGCCTCTCAGACACGCTGCGTGCTGGTGCTTCTACAGTACCGTTGGAAGTCGAAGAACAGCCAGATGACTGCAGTATGGAGCACAGCATCCAGAGAGATGACAGCGACACCGCCCCTCGCAGCCAGGAGGATGATGACGGATGCGAAAACCCCGACAGCACTGATGGCATAGAGGAGGAGGATGGAGAAGCAGGGCGCCATTCGATATCAGATGTTAGCTATGAAGAAGAGGAGCTCAGAAACGACGTTGGTCTGGTGGCCGTGGAGCCGCTGCAGGTTTGGCACAGCAGCTGGGAGTCCTGGCAAGCATATTTTGCTCTATATTGCCAGAGGACAATGCAGGTGTTACCGGTCAAAGAAACGATGTCGCGAACAGAGAGGAACAAGCGTCTGAAAAGGACCAAGAAGGGCGAGGACGACTCACAAATGGTGCCTGTCTCCATGGACCCTTATCAACGCACGTACACATGTACGCACGGATGGAAGAAGCGTAAATCGCGTAGCGAAGGGAGCCGCCCAAGGCAGCACATTCGCCTCACTAATTGCCCCTTTCGGTTCATTGTTCAGTGGAATTTGGCTCGTGGCGAATTACAAGTCAAGAACGGCACTTACTCACACAACCATAGGGTATCTGCAAGTGCGTATGCTACGTATCCTACGTCTAGGGGCATTGCTGATCCATTGGTTGGTGCCCATGTGGAGGGAATGCTAGCAGTTGGTGCAAAGCGCTCGCGCATCTACGATTATCTGCTGGACCACGACGAGAACGTAATCCAGTCCGACGTGGACAACTTAGTGCGCAGCCATTCATCTTCCGTTTCGACAGTTGACGATAACGACGCCACCGCTCGGGAAATCGCGCTTTTCGCAGCGGCCGACCCAGAGAATGTGTCGTCCGTAGCTGAGACAGATGCTGGAGAGAGCGGAGTGATCTCGCTTGCCACAGCCCACATGCGGCGTGTCTTCGGGCGATTCAGCGAGCTTCTTTTGGTAGACTGCAGCCACAAGACCAACAGGTTCGAGCTTTATTTATACAGGATTATTGCAGGATTTAACCAGGATTGCGTTTATATTCTTGCAGATACAACTATCAGTTGCTGACGTTCATGGCGATGAACGAGTTTGGTGAAGGAGCCGTGGTGCAGCAGTCACTAATTGAGTCTAATGGGGATTGGCACATGGAGCGCGCCATTGCTCATTTCAAGCGCTCTCATCCGACACGTATACAGTCGCTACGTGTTATCGTCGTGGACAAGGATCTAAACGAGATTCGGGTCCTGGAGGCCAACTTTCCTGACGCTCGTATTTTGATCTGCCACTTTCACGTGATCAAGTACTTGAAAGAGATGCGTGCTAAGCCCGAGTTTGGAAAGTTGTCAGCGGAGGATGCGAGCCAGATAGATGGAGCAGTCCACAAGATGGTGTACGCATTATCAGAAGACAACTACAACGAGGCTCATGATTCTCTCAAGGGTATTTGCGAGCGGTGTGGAATGGATACATTTTTCGCGTACTTTGAAAAGAACTGGGATGCTAGCCGGGACCGATGGGTGTTATATCTTCGAGCTACGCTTCCACACTTCAAAAACCACACGAATAATCGTCTGGAGAGCTTCTTCGGGAAGCTCAAGGAGAGTGTTGACGGGTCCATGAGCATGGCCACGTGTATTAAGTCTCTAGTGGCGTACGATCGACGCAAAGAGAACGAGTACAAGTATCGCGTATCTCGCATCGGCCAATTCGTGAACTGCAATTATGATGAAGAGATGAGGAACGTTCTGCGCTTCACCACTCACTACGTTGCCGGACAAATCGAGCATCAGATGCTTCTAGATGCATGTACAAAGCTACTGCCTGTTGGCAACACTGCGCACGCTGCGATTTCAATTGATGACTCCCAAACAAATGAGAACCAAGGCGGTGTTGGTACTACGGGACAAGGTACAGTGGAGACGTTGATCATCAAGGACGTTGGTAACTTCTCACGCAAGCAGATCGAGACCTTTAAGAGAGTGCAGAATTTGAAGGCTCAGGTGCATCTCGGTCTTGACATGCACAAGTGGCTCGTGCAGGATGCACTGCCCACACTACCTGCTGAGTACCACGATTTCGCGAGCAAAGTGGCTACAGACGTGTTGGCGGCGTACCCATACAAATGCATTGACACTCTACCGAACTACCCGGGCTTTCATTACGCGATGCTGTATCGAGCGACGCCTCCAGTGTGGTTAAATGACGCAACAATTAGGGCGTTGTGCTTGCGACTATGTGGAGAATACCCTACATGCAGATTTACCGGGTTCCAGCCCGCAACGACAAGGTCTAAACGTACGAGAAATGCGGACGAGGTGGTTGTAGACGCTGCAATACGCGATCTGGTTATACAGCAAGCCAACGAGGAAGGCGTAGAGACGGTGATGCTGCCCCTGAACTTCATGAATTACCATTGGTGTTGTGTTACGGTTATGGTGATCCAAAAACGGATCTTTTACTATGACCCCCTAAATCAAGGACCCTACATGAATGCTGCCAAGGCTGTGGCGACCCACCTCAAGTTAGCTGGACTGCAGGGGTATGATGTTATACCGCAGAACAACCCTCTACAGTTTGACCTGTTCAGCTGCGGCGTCTATGTGTGCTGGATGTTCATTCGGCAGGTATGTCAGGGTGCGCACCCGGACATGAGCAAGACTTCGCTTACTCGCAGACGCTTCGAATTGTTCTACTACCTACTGACGGGCCGTTTACTCACTGTAGAAGCCTCTAAGGCCACGCCAACTGCGACAGATGATGGTACTGAGGAGAAATTGCCACCTTCACGCACCGACGACGAGGCTGGTGGCGACGAGGAGCTCCCTCCGACTCAAGTGGCGCAGTAGGGCGGCGGATGACAGTGTGCTGATACTCGGGAAGCGCACAGAAGTTTAACAGTCACTAATACACGTTCCTTCATTTTCAAAAAGGTGTTTTCCACTCCTTTTCACGACCTCCGGCAAGAAGAGCTTCAAAGAGTTGCTTCCGTTACCTCCAGAAGCTATCTTCAATGCTAAATCATCTTTGCATGATTATTTCATGATTGACACAGGATTAATCCTGGGCGGATACAAATTAAAGACAAAGTCGTATAACCATGATTTCTTACATGTACATATTCAGGATAAATCCTGGACGAGTTTCAGCCACACAAATCGTATCTTTCCCGTCCTCGACAAATCTTTCCGTATCTTTCCGTATCTTCCCGTATTTTCCCCATATGGATACTTATTTAAGATATATTTCGACGACCAGGATTAATCCTGGTCCAAATCATGTATAAACCCAGTATTGCTGCCATAGAAAAATAACCGCTGCGTAACACATTTGTCTCCATACTTCCCTGTCAAATCGGATTGCAGTCACTGTAGATTTTCACTGTGATTGGTACTGTAGCACAACCTCTCTATTCCCTCATTTTTCCCAACCAACCATATCTAGACTGCACGTCGTGAATGACTTTCAGTGACATCAATATTAACGATCCCTCCCGGAAGCTAACCCAGCGAGAGCCATTGAAGAATGTGCTGCCGAGTAACACGAAGGAAGTCCATTTCGAGCGATGCAGGCAGGAGCTATAGCAAATTTCGGCGCACTATCGAGCCATCAAAAAGAAACTCGCAGATAGGTTCTCTCCTCTCATGAGATTCAGGAATAATTTATCGATCCCGAAAAAAAACTCGCGTTGTCATTGATTGTTTGCGTCCTCGCTGTTCAATCTTTTAGTCTCCTCTTCGTCCTTGTCAATAGCAACTTGGAGTTGGAGCCGCGGGATGACGCAGTGACATTTTTATAACAGAATACACGTATGTCCAAAGCACGACAGGGAATAAGCGCATTGACACGGTCATGAATTGACCCACTGTGTGGATCCGTGCTAACTAGATTGATGTATGGCTAGCTCTCTTGAAAGGCAAACGAAGCTTGGATGGCACAACAACCTGCTCCCGCTGCACCAAGAACTGCATCCATTGAGCCATCAGCGCACCTGCATGGGACGTGCTCGTGCATCCTGCACTGTGTTGATATGCCACGTCAATAGTGCCGTTACCTACTTCTGTTCAAGTGAATTATGCCCAACCTTCCGTTATCCACTCGACGCATTGTTGCGTTGGTTCCGCGTCGCAACTGAGCCTGTTTGCCTTGGAGTCAAGGATCATCATGCTGTAAGTGATCTTGCATTTATTGACTTGAAGCGCCCACAGAGCCGTTCGCGCAAGGAAAATGTTACGAATATTCGTCTGGCCGGGATGCCGTGTACCATGACGCGTATACACGGATCAAACACTTGCAAGACTTGGGTTGAGATGTCACCGTGTTGTCTAATGCCCCAAGTGTTCGGAGTCATAAGTAACGGGCGCAAGGCTCTCTCTCTCGCGACAGATATCGCGATAGCTCTATCGAGCGAGCACTGCACCTTTTTGCTTGCTTGCACGCGAAATGTCAGCCATCTACTGTCCCAGTTCTCAGAGTAACATGAATGTCGACGAATTTCCCGCCCTAGAAAGCAACCAACCGAAGTTGTGGCTGGTAGAGCAGCGGTAATTGCTTGATCGAACGGGTTGGTTGTAGTGATGGCTACCTCAAGACTGAACGGATGGAAGTAGAATGATGGCGAGGCGTTTTCGAAATGGACCCACCAGCTATTAGCTTCTCTACTCGCGGATGTACGGCAATCGCCACTCTTTGAATACCTTGGTATGCTACGTGGGGGACCTTCTGCAAGGCCTTGTAATTCTCAATCTTGCTACAGAGCTCCATGTTCTGTCGCCGGAGTGCCTCCCTTGCCACAATTAGCGCACAAAGGCTGTACTCAAAGTTAACAGGAGCTAGAGTCCGTAGCACGTTTTGAGTACTCGCTCCAGACGACGATGCTCGATATGCAAGGAATTGAACTGATTTTTTCTTCCTTAGTCCATACCTGACCATTACGTCACGATGTTTCTTGAGAACTCTCCTTTCCGAAGCTGTCTTGCATTTCACGTCATTCTTGATGACACCGTCGCTACTGCATGAAGCTCGGAGGGGTTGGCCTTCCACGTTGCTTGTACTCGTCATCTTTGTTGAGATTGCACTTCGTCGTCTGCCTGACTTGGACCTTGCTACAAGACGCACGTCGTGCGCGTGCTGCGCGTGCCAGGCATGTGGCTTAGGTGGTCAAGTACTGAAGGTAGACGAATGCTGCAATCTGATTGGCAGATCATTTGATATCCTGAACTGTGATTGGACAAGAAGTTGAAGCTGGATGGTGAAAACGTTCCCGTC